TCCGCGGTGGGGCCTCCCCCCCCCCGCCCCGTTAACCCAAGCTCTCGGCTGGAGCTGCCGGCCCTGGGAGCTGCCGTGGGGCAGTTGAGGGGAGCGGGGTGCTCTCCTGCATGAGCCCCGCGGGGCTTTCCCAGCCCGGGAGTGGATTTACCCCTCGGTTTACTTACAGCAGGGGCTCGGGCGCGCACGCCGCGGGGCGAGCGCGCTTTCGGGTCCTTCGCCAGGAGCCGTCGTAGTGCCGGGAGCCCTGCACGCACGGCGGGAAACACCGCTGTGCTCCGAGGGTGGCCTTCGTCAGCTGGGGCTGCTGGTGTCCCGGCGGCCCTCATAGAAGGCTGCTTGGGGTTTCCACTCCTTCGCTTTTCAGGAACGGGCTCGGAGAGCCTCAGCCTTGGCACTGGAGGCCTCTACCTTGCTTGCCACACGGCTACTAAGGCGGCCCTCATAGAAGGCTGCTTGGGGTTTCCACTCCTTCGCTTTTCAGGAACGGGCTCGGAGAGCCTCAGCCTTGGCACTGGAGGCCTCTACCTTGCTTGCCACACGGCTACTAAAACACCACTGTGCCTGTCCAGGTGCAGATTTGTTGGGTGCGGGTCACGGTGAAGCCCCGGATCTGTTTTGTGTGGATCAGGCTGCTGCCAGGCTCCCCACAAAACAGCCCGGCTGGGCAATGGGCACCATCACAGCGTGGGTCTGGTTCCTGTGCCGGGCAGGACAGGACCACAGCCAGGAGCTGCACAGCACTGGATGTGGCGCTTGGCTCGAGGGGCGTTAGATCTGAAGAGATATGCTGCAGAGAAACCCCTTTGGCCCTTTGAAAGGGTCGCTTTGCCTTTCCGAATAGGGAGACCATTGCCACGCGTCACTCTGGGCAGCTGCTTCTTCTCAGGATGATGGCCACCCGAGTGCAGTGTGCTAGATCCAGGGATTTCAGGAGCAGACCTCCTGAAGATGTCTAACCGGGACGCGTGGTTTTGGGTGCTCCTCCAAACCGAACCGGTAGGACTGCAAAGGGATGTCAGGCCCTGGAAACGCAGCCTCTGCGAACTGTCCTGCTCACGTAGGAGGGACAGCGCAAACTCAGAGATGGCTGTGCGTGTTTCTGCTTTGAGGTACTAGAGCCCTGCCTCGCGAAGCCGGAGGAAACCACACTGAGGTGCTGGCGATATCGGTCTGTAGCTCCCTAGGGATTCCTGGGCTGCTTTGCTGGAGGCGCTTGCTTCCACCGTGTCTTTGGAACATCCACCCTTGTTCAGGGTGGTCTCGGAGCCAAGGCTGGGCGAGCAGTACGCGTCCTGCTTCGTGTGCTCTGGCAAGCCCGAATCTGCAGGCGTAGGTCCTGCAGCTGGGGGGAGTCTCCAGGAGCTGTGCTGGGAGTCAGGGCTTGGTCGAGCTAGATTCCTGCGGTGGGAGTGACATACCTGATTTCTGTTGGCTTTAGGGCTCAAGGTCAGACTCTACGAGGACGTCAGCGTTGTTGATTTGGTTTGAACGAGAAAAGGAAATCTCGGCAGGAGTGTTTCTTTGCAGCCAACACTGCAGTTTCCCTGTCCTGGGTTTGCTCTTGGTTTGCCTGCCGTTAGGAAGATCTGAGGTCGCCTTTGCTTGTTCCCCTGGCAGCCGGTCAAAAGAGCAAGTGGCTCTTTCTCAGGGCGCTCGCCTCCATGTTTGCCTCCCACTTGTGTCCTTGAGAGGCAGTGGACACCTCTCTCTGGAGAGCGGCTTTGCGGTGGGGTCAGCATCACTGTACCCGGCCGGTTGTTCTGGGAGCTCTGGGCTGGAGGGTCAGGCTGGGAGGATGAGAGACCTCCCTGTGCTTTGTGCGGGATGATGTGTGTGGGGAAGCTGGGAACTGAACGGTCTTTGGCCTGTGAGCAGGTTTTCCCATTAAAGTTGGAGGATGCTGGTAACAAATCCTCTCTCCATCATCGTCATCTTAGAGGGTGACCTTGGCTGGGGGCTAAACCCTGGACTAGAGACTTTGGGCAGCCAAGAGCATTGCAGAGCTCTTGGAGCTCTTGCTCCAAGGGAGTGCTGGGGCCTCAAGGATACCCCCCCCCCCTCCCGCTACATGCTGCCAGGAGCCTGCTTGCTCATCCTGGGGCAGGAGAGCACTCTCCATCGCTGTAGCATCATCTAGTGGCAAAGGGCACGGTGGGACGTGTCGGCTCCCGTTATGCCCTCCTGCAGTGCTGTGAACGTAGCCTGGGATAACGCTTTGTGCCTCTCTTCTTGCAGGGGGTTATGAGCGCTTCTCCTCAGAGTACCCCGAATTCTGTGCAAAAACGAAGTCCCTGAGCAATGTGTCACCCCCCACCAGCGCCGAGCCCCTGGATTTGGGCTGCAGCTCCTGTGGGACTCCCTTTCATGACCAGGTATGTCTGTAAGGCCAGTGCTCAGCTGTTTTGACTGCTCCTTCCAGCATTGCAGCCTGGTCTTGCTGGAGTCTCTCTGCTCTCCCTCAGCTGAGCCCTGCTTGCTTCCCCTTCATGGGAGAGCATGGTGGTCCTCCTGATCCCTGGGGGTGGACAAACCCAAATCCCGTTAAGCACACCTGCCTGTTCCTGAGCAGCATGAAGAGAAGGTGGGCTGAAATGGGTTTAATGGCTCAGAAAGGCAGCCTCTGCTCCCTCTTTTGAGGGATCAGGTGCCAGGCTCCTGCACTGCTCAGGGCCTCCAAGCCATCTGGGTGTGCGTCCTGCCCACTGCTGTCCCCTGGTGACCCCCCCATATGTGTTGTTTTTCTCTGTAACAGGGTGGCCCCGGCTCTAGGGCGGGCCGGTGGAGATCCTGCCGTTCCTCTACCTGGGCAGCGCCTACCACGCCTCCCGCAAGGACATGCTGGACGCGCTGGGCATCACGGCGCTGATCAACGTCTCGGCGAACTGCCCCAACCACTTCGAGGGGCACTACCAGTACAAGTGCATCCCCGTAGAGGATAACCACAAAGCGGACATCAGCTCCTGGTTCATGGAGGCAATCGAGTACATTGGTGAGTGCCTGCGCAGAGGAGCTTTGTCCCTGCATGTTTCATCAGGGGAAGGGTTCCTGCCTCAAAGACCTGGAGCCTTTGGCTTGGAGGGGACTGGGGGTCCAGCAGAGTCCAGGCCGTTTGTTGCACTGGTGGGAGGGAGGTCAGCCATCACCCGCGGGGTTGGGCTTTGTTGGAAGGGCGCTGGTCTCACGTCTCGCCCCGTTGCCCTCCAGACTCGGTGAAGGAGTGTTGTGGCCGGGTCCTAGTCCACTGCCAGGCTGGTATCTCCCGCTCTGCCACCATCTGCTTGGCTTACCTGATGATGAAGAAGCGTGTCAAGCTGGAGGAGGCCTTTGAGTTCGTCAAGCAGCGCCGGAGCATCATCTCCCCTAACTTCAGCTTCATGGGGCAGCTCCTGCAGTTTGAGTCGCAGGTGTTGGCCACCTCATGCGCGGTGGAAGCCGTCAGCCCCTCGGGGACACTGCGGGAGCGGGGCAAGGCCACCTCCACCCCCACCTCCCAGTTTGTCTTCAGCTTCCCAGTCTCTGTCGGTGTCCATGCCACCCCCAGCAGCCTCCCGTACCTGCACAGCCCCATCACCACGTCACCCAGCTGTTAGCTTGGGGGCTGAGGCCAGCCAGGCAGGTCGTGCCAGGCGTGGAGGGGCCAGGTGGGCACGGAGCCCCATGATGTTAAGCAATAGTGCCGGACACTGCCGTTCGCCCTGGACTCTAAGTCTTTTTCGTAGAGAAATTTCTTACCTCATCTTCTTTTTTTGCTTTTTATGTTTTGAAAGCATGAGAAGTTGTAAAAGTCACAAACCATGTCCAGGCTCTTTGGGGGACGAAAAAAAAATACTATACTGGGTTTCCTCAAGTGCCTGGTCTTCATCTCTTTCCATCCCTATTTTATTGTCTTGTTTTTTAAAAAAAGATACACCTCCCCTGCTCCCCATATTTCTGCCCCGAGCTCATCTAGGGTGAAAAGGGAGCACTGTTCATCGTGCAGCAGAGGTGGGTGCGTGTAGTGGGTGCTGCTTACCTGAGCCAGCTGCAGGGGGTGACAAGCAGAGGTGCGGGCAGGGCCCTGGGGCAGGCAGGAGGGGTGGCACAGGGCTGCCTGCAGCCCACCTCACCCCGCCAGTGCCTGGGGAGCGGAGGCAGGAGCTGGTAGCACTATCTGAGCCTCCAGCCGAGCCCGTCCCTGGCGGAGAGAGCAATCTCTGGCTGGGGGGTGGGTTTGGAGGGGGAGATGCAGTCCTAAACGCCTCTTTTCTGGCCCCTGTGGAGCTCTGGTTCTTGCAAAACTATGTCCAACCTGCTGTGGCTTGGACAGGAGAAAGAAGGGGTGGGGGCAGCAGTGGCCCTAGTGTGGCAGCCAGCCAGCCAGCCAGCATTTCCAAATTTCTCCACCTCACTACCAGCCCCTCTCCACCTGAGCTGGGCCTCACTCACCTGTGAACACCACTGCAGCTTTTGGTCCAAGCCCAGAAAATGCCTCATCTTCAACCCACCTGGAGCCACATTTCCCACCCCACCTTCCCCCCAGTCCAGTCCAACACAGAAGATGCCTGTGTGGCTGATGTACATATGTATGGTTTTGTTCATTTGTTTTTTTGAAATTAAGTTTTTATTTATTGCCTGAGGAAGGGAGAAAACAAACTGTTTGGAGAAAATAAAAATAAAGCTGTTTTCAACAGTTGTGGCTGGAGCAGGTTTGTCCTAAGACCAAGACAGAAGAGCAGGTTGTGCAAACACTCCACTTTCACAGAGCAACTGTTAAAAATGTATTTATTGAATTTTAAACTATTACAAGTATTGCAGATCAGACATTTAGCCAAGCACATTTACAGATCAAACTCGGTTGTTACAGAGATGTTACCTAAAGTCCACCATGTAGGTAGGCTGAGAACCCGCCCATCGTCTTTGAGAGAGAGAGGGTAAAGGAGGAAATAAATAAATGATATCCCAGCTCCAGGTAATTGGCAACCAAGAGAGGAAACATACAGGGCTAGTTATGAAAACAAGTTATATGAAAAAAGGTCTAAAAGCTTGACCCCCAGGTACACTGCCATCTGGGTTGGCAGAGAAAGCAATTAGGAATGAAGATACAGGAGCTTATGGGACTGTGGCACAGAAAAATCCCCCATTTCAATTTCCAAAGCTGAAGCAAGTTCTGCAGATGTTAAAAACAAAGTGTCAAAATTGCCTTGTAACACAAGAGACTCTAATCAAACTACATGAGCAATTAATGGAACCAGCAACACTAAAACTTGCCAGCAGCAGGTTCAGCAAGACAGGAATCGATGTATCAAAACCAGCTGGACAATACGACCTGACAAGCATATGTGTCAGTGTAATGGGAAACGCATCTGGTTCTCGCGTTCGCTGCCGATTCATGGGCTCATTCCCCTTGCTTCAGAAGTTTTGACACACGTATGCTGTCCCCTGATCCTCTAGGTTTCGCATCCACTGTGTGTTCAGAGAGGCGGGGAAACCCCCACTCCCGCTCCTC